AAAGAAATAGCGGCTCCGGTCTAGAAAACCGAAATTAACGGCCGTGGGGATTCGTTGCGCTGACCACTTGATACCCTCTATCCGCAAAAGTTGGCACTAAACTTCGCCGACAAGCAGCGGTCGCTCGGTCGGTATAGTTCGCTTGCGGACTAAAACTACGGGAGTTTTTTTTCTTTTGTAGTAGACTTTTTGAACAGTGAAATTTAGCTGGTCAAGACATTTCCCGCTTCTACGTAATCCGGAGGTTCATTACCGCGATCACAAGATACCGTATTCAGAACCGAAGCGTTAAGTGACAAACTTATATAATAATATTAGAGATAGCTTAATTCATATCTCTGTTCTTACTCACTGTTCTGGTCGGGGCTGTGGGCGGGTCTTGATGCGCCCCTGAATATGTGACTATGATGATAATTATCTGAAACATGAATAGTATTTGTTAACAGAAGTCAGTTTCCCACATTGAGACTGATTCTTATAGAAGTCTTTACTTCGATTTTTGTTTATATCAACTGTTATTTTTGTATAACCTCAGATCTATTTTCCCTTAAAGAGAACGAAAATTTGGATAAAAGTCAATGGACAGTATAAATGCTTACCAGTGTATCTGGGCTTGTTGGAGATCGGAGTAGCACAGATGTAAGTCACAAGCAGGACAGACACACTGACTGAAGCCAGAGATGAAGACATCTTAGAAGAGAGTATGAGGATACACAACAGCAGAATAATTGTTACTTTCTGACAATTTGAAGAAGGTGCAACGCCAGTTAAAACTACTAATACTTGTGCATGAATAAATAATTTATCCCTCTCATATCTACTCACTACACATACTACTCCATCACAAATAATCCCATAGTCTCTGCTTTCAGCATTGATAATATTTCATATTGAAACCCCTGTGTAAACTAAGGAGGTATTAACAATAGTTAAGCAATGAGATAACAAGAATTCAGTATTCCCAAGATTTAAAATATTAATTTTTTATTGTGGTTGTTAGCGTAGGACGCTTCTCACATATGTACACAGCATAAACATACAGAAATCCTGCCTGGTGCATTAATTTGTCATCTCTCTGTGTTCAATTAACAAAAAACTGTGGGACTACTCTAACAAAGTACCTTTCTTTCCACATGCTTTATTGGCTCTTTACCAGGCCTTGTTTGGTTTCATATTTGTCAAAATATACATAAAGAGAGTCATTGGAAAAAAAAATGTCGGTATGATAAAAACTCTCAATCGAAAACACATATCAGCATGATTAAGCATTAAATTGCTAATAAATGTCTGAAGTTTTTATTCCTGGTCTACATGAAGATATTTGTCTCGCAACTTTATTTCTTTCAAATGTTTCAACCAAAATCTCAGAGCCTTAACATCTTGTGCTTTTCTATTTTGATGTATTCTTCGCTATTTACGTTGTACTGTTACAAACCATTTCTATTCTGCGTACCAGATTCAGCCTTCTGTTGCACGGTCAACATCTCGCCTGAAACTGACTCGCATTGGGAGGTACATATAACGGGTGCTGGGTAAATCTAACGACCTTTCTATCTATGGGACAACCGACAAATCCAAAGCAACGTCGTTCACTACCCATCATTAATTGAGCATATTAAAAAAAACGTACGTTCTTTCGCCGAATTTGTAAACTTGAATTATATCGATATATTTAATAATTTTTTAATGGTGGATTTTCATAATCTCGGTATTTTTTTTTCGATGATAAACAGAGCAGAAATGAATTTGGTGTTGCGAAGATGAACGCTCTGCATAAGAACTGCATCAAGCCAGAAATTACTGTTTCCATATATGTAGCTATATTTTTATTATATTAAGAAGAGTTATTTCAAATATAAATTACAGGTCTTAATAAGCCTTACATTTTATATCACGCACTAATTTTCCTTAGTTATAATACGTGACTGATCACCGTTACTCAGCAGTCAGTTTCTTCCTAAGGAAAGAGCTTCTGGACAGGAGGTGGGTTTCAGCTCATTGAGAGAGCACAACGTTTCGAGCGTCATTAATATGAGAGTGTAAGGAATTAACGTGTAAGCAGGATTCATTTCTTGTCGCATACTGTTCGCCCTTTGCCAACACAAGAGGCGTAGGCCATGACGTGGGGAATGAAGTTCTGCTCAAATGTGCCCGCATACAGATGACTCCAAGGCCCTCTGGCAAACACTGCGACGTCATCTCCTCCATGGGTCTCGCTACTCAGCGGGACGGCTGCTGGGTAACGGTAGTTGGGGTCATCTGCAGAGAATTCTCGTATTTAATGTCACAAACATCCTCTCATAAACCATACAATGCTCAATGCATATTATATTATAAATAAAACGAATCCAATTGCTAAATCAATTAAGCACAATGCTATGAGGGGGGCGTATGGGGGAATGGACGTAAATATCCACATTTTCTTGATCTCGACTCTAGACGGAGTTGAGTGGTCAACTTCATGGCTCGGTCGCTTGACTCCCGGAAAAAGACCCTACGGTACCCATTTAATGAGAGGCTGGTTGGGCCCCAGAGCCGGTTTGGACGCTGTGGAGAAAAGAAAAAATATGCCCTTCCGGAAATCGAACAGCGATCGTCCAGCTCTTAGCCCGTCGCTCATACTGACTGAGCTATCCCAGATTCACGTGTTATATACTAAAGGTAAAAGTGTTCCTGAATTTAATTAATTAGGCACTATGCCATGAAGACATATGGGGGAGTGAAGGTACAACTCCACATTCTCTTGACCTCGGCCCTATATGGGGGTGAGTGGTCAGCATCTTGCCACTGCCGCTTTATGGAAGACATTTCTGACAGTAGGAGCGAAAACAATTTGTGAATCTGTGTAGCACATGAGTGGGCCATGCATTTTGAAAATGAAGACATAACTGGGGGCCCCGCTTTGAAATCCATCCATAACATCCACTGTTGAAAGCAATATAAAATATAAAGAAAGCCGTCTTTTGGGATGTGGCGCCGTGTAGATATTGTATAAGCAGACGTTTCCGTGAAACATCGGTTCACACAATGTCTACACGGCGCCACATCCCAGAAGACGGCTTTCTTCATAGTCACCACAGTGAAAACCTCAAATCATACAATAGAAAATAAAGGTTTCAAACAGTCCTTCTAATTAGCAATTTACGAAAATGACACTTTATGAGAGAGAAAACTATTGACGGATCCACATATTAACTACAACCAGCACCTGCTGTGCGCTGTCGGCACACTGTGTTTCCAAATCTGACGGAACATTGTAAAGGTTCGGCCACACAGAGCGCTATGTACGCTATGTTCGCTATACGAACAGAAAAATATCTCCCTTTATTGCCAATGTGACTGGCCACACAGATTTCCGTACGCTACGTACGCTATGTTTCTTATGTTAGCTGCGTCGCACAGTGTACACAGCGTAAGTAGCGAACATAGCGTAGCGCTCTGTGTGGCCGAACCTTAAGCACAATTAAAGTAAAGCTATCCCTGTAACAGGCCTTGGAGACCCATAGTTTTGTGAGACGTTGATGTTTTCACATTATCTAGACAATCGGCCCATAGATGGCGGTATGGTTGTCAGCCCTACACGCCGCCGCCCTTAACCCCTAGGGAGATTCCTGGTACTCATTTCTGTTTGAGTTTGAGTCGACCCCAGGGCCACACTGCGCTGAAGGGTTAAGTCATTTGAAAAAATCCACCTTATCGGTAATCCAACCCGCGACCTTCCGGCTTGTAGCATAGTGCCTCAACAAATATGCGCAGGCTAATCACAATGGTATATTTTAAAAGGCACTGACATCTGTTTCTGTGTAGTCTGAAACGATGTCTAGGTACAAGGAGTACACAGACAAAACTTTTTCTCATGTGAGACCGTAAGCAGTACGGTAATATGGCAAAATAATACTTGTTACCTAATTCGGCTGTGGCGAATCAATACCTTCGGTTCCACGGAACATATTAGGAGGCTTTGTTACCGGTAATTGGATTCTAAAAATAGAAGCAAGTCACAAGAAAGCAGAGAAGAACCCGTATGAGGCAATGGCTGTGCTCTTGAATACGTGGGGATGCCTTACATATTTGCGACTTTTGGAATATATTATATCGATAAGAAATTATGGATTACGTAAAATCACACGAAAGACTGGCTTTAATTATAATATTCATACATTACATTTCAGCATCCTGTTGCATTGAGGTATAACTTACAGTCTTAATTTCCGTCTATAATGCAACAATATTAATTTAACAACATTAATATTAATATATATTTGTACAGCCGATGCTCGTGCTACTGGTTTCAAGCGCACATGGCCATCTTCGGGCAACACATCTTTTGAAGGGGTCTACTGCACTGTGCACTTGGTCAAACAGTATTCATTAAGGCACGTCGTTGTTGTTGTAGAAGTAATAGGAAGGTGAGGCTTAGGAGGTGTTGACAGGCTGTAGTAGATGTACATTAAAAAGACTTAAACTATATACAGAGGCCACGCCATTGCTCAAACGGTTAGTCGCTGGCTTTCCACAGCGGCGGCCTGGGTTCGATCCTGGGTCTGGTCAGCGTGGGATTTGTGGTGGACAAAGTGAAGCTCGGGCAGGTTTTCTCCGAGTACTTCGGTTTCCCCTGCCAATCTTCATTCCACCAATTGCTCCACAATCACCCTCACCTATCATCTGGGGCTTGTACCACAGGCCAGAAGTGGCCGCAGTACAAGGGACTTGGTCCCACCCCACCAGCATTAAAAAAAAATAAAATAATAAACTATATACAGGCAGTCACATTATCAGAACGGTGTAAGGCATGTACTGTCTTTGCTCGCTCGGAGGCCCGGATCGTGGGTTCGAATCTCACACAAAGCATGGATATTTGATATGAGTATGTATTTATTCTGTTTTGTGTTTCACTGTGTTTAGGTATAGGCCTTGCGATGAGCTGATCGCTCGTCCAAGGAGCCCTACAGTCTGTAAAATAATCAAAACGAAAATAAATACTTCGACACCGTAATGGTATAATAGGAAAGTATTAAGTTAGAGACTACATACATTTATATACAGAAAATAGTAATATTAACTCACTCATATTTTCTTTGGAAAGGTCGTATCTTGGTTTGTAACTCTTCCCATTGGCGTAAGAAAGAGTCGCATATGGAAGTCTGTCAACTCCAGACGTCCCAGCAAGATCTGAAAAACAGAAGATGGTTGGGCGAGAATCAAATGATTACAAATACTGCTTCGGTACACTCTGTGAGTGTTCGTTCGATCTGAGGTTCTCACGGCTATGAAGAATACTGTTCTCTTGGTTGTAACGCCCTTTATTTGGGAGATATTCCGATGCTTTGTAGGAAGATGTTGCCAAGAAGGCCGCGCCATAGCTCAAGCAGTTAGTTGCTGGCTTCCCATCGCGGTGGTCCGGGTTCGATCCCGGGTCTGGTCAAGTTGAATTTGTGGTGGACAAATTGGCGCTGGGGCAGGTTTACTCTGAGTACTTCGGTTTCCCCTGCCAATCTTCATTCCACCAATTGCTCCAGAATCACCCCCACCTATCATCTGGGGCTGCTGCAACAGGCCAGAAGTGGCCGCAGTATAAGGGACTTAGTCTCACTCCACTAAAAAAAAAAAGGAATAATAATACTACAAGGGAGGCTTTGCCTCTGCCAGAAATCGAAACTCGATTCCTCGGTCAGTAGCCCGCAGCACAGTCGCTATGCCTGCTGTGGGAATCCCAGCCAGAGCTCCATATCTTCCGTTTAAGTGGACCTCTGCGTGCTTCCTTCATACTCACGCAAGATGTCGTTACCGCGAGAGGGGTAGCCGCTGATGCTCATGGTGTGTGCGTGATCGGCCGTGACCACGATCAGGGTGTCCTCTTCATCTGTGAGATCGGCGGCGGCCTGTACGGCCTTTGCAAATTCCACTGTTTCATCCAGAGCCAAGTGTGCTTTCGTGTCGTGGTGGGCGTGGTCAATACGTCCGCCTGTTATCAACATGACAGGAAATGTAAAATTGCGTCACTCCATTTCAGAGCCAGCGTCTGTGATGGGAATTATCTAAATATGTATGAATATCCACAGATCAGGAATTCCAGATCAGAATATTGTCACAAGTTCAGGTAACAGCTACATGAGTTCATTTTTAAGAGTACATAATAAACAGCTCATCTTGAAACTCGACAAATAAGGCCGGGCCTCAACCCCTCCAGTGAAAGAGAAGTTCCAAATCTCCCTCCAGGCGTTATAGCGACGGGCTACTGACTGGACGACCGGGGTTCAATTCTCGGCGTGGACAAGTAATTCTTCTCTTCTCCACAACGTCCCGACCCGCTCTGAGTTTAACCTAGGAGAAAGAGCTCCCCTATCCATTGGCTAGGAGGTTTGGTGGGCCCCAGAGCCTGTCTGGACGACTGGAGAAGAGAAGAATCTTGCCCATACCGGGACTCGAAGTTTTACCCCTCGGCCATCCAACCCCTAGTCAGTCGCTAAACTCTCTGAGCTATCCTGACAGAGCAAAATTTAAACTCGTGGTTCTGTCTGTTGTCTCTGCTTATGCAAACCGCAGTGCAGAGCGGTAAGCACCCCGACTGCAAAGCGAAAAGCAGACTCTTGAGAAACAAGACTGTTGCTTTGCGTGAGAGAATCCCATGCCACGAGACAATCCTGAGTCATTTTAGTCGCAGTGATATCCAAAACTAGCAACAATGTGTCCGCATATATCACTACTGAGAAGTGTACGCAACAAGTTGACTTCCGAGACCTCGTGTAAAAGAATTATTTTGCAAGACCGGGGTATAAATGAGGGGATAATATTCAAATAAATCTTAGAAAATAAGGCGTAGGATCAAAATTTCCCAAGAATTTAGACTTATCGAGATAACCGCTTCTTGTTTCAATGATTGGGGAGGGGGTAGAGTGCTCAGGGGTGGGCTGCGTACTGTCTGTGGACCAATTAGCAACAGGCTGAGACACATATTTGTGCCGCAGTCGGGCGTGGTGAAACACTTGGATCCTACAACATGACAGTGCACCCTTGCAAGGACTTTTGACGGAATTCCAAACGTCACCCAGTCACCATGTTCTCCCGATCTAGCTCCAGGCGACATCCGGCTCTCTCCGAGACTCAAGGACATGCGACAAGAGATCTCAGAGCCGTACTAAAAAAGGGCCTCTAGATGTGCTTCCAGAAATGGCAGGACCTCTGCAGCAAATGTGCATGCGCAGTAGGACATTACTTCAAGGATGAGTAGGGTCGATTTTTACATATAACCATTTCACCTGAATTTCATCAACTTCTTGATTACTGGAATTAAATTGGATTTACGTAGTAAAAGTTATTCTTATTCGCAGGGCAAACTCATGATATAAAGACAGCTAACAGATGCTTTGAAAATGTGGCACAGTTCAGATATTCGGGAACGACAGTAACAAATAAAAATCTGATTCAGGAGGAAATTAAGAGGAGATTGAACTCGGGTAATGCTTGCTACCATTCAGTACAGAACCTTCTGTCTTCTCGTATGTTGTCCAAAAACATAAATATTAAAATATACAATATTTTAATTTTGCCTGCGGTTCTGTATGGGTGTGAAACTTGGTCTCTGACATTAAGGGAGGTACAAAGACTGAGGGTGTTTGAGAACAGGGTGTTGAAGAGAATATTTGGAACGAAGAGGGCTGAAGCTACGGGAGGGCTGAATAAACTACATAATGAGGAGCTTCATAACTTGTACTCTTCTCCAAGAATAATTAGAATGATCAAGTAAAAGAGGATGAGATGGACAGGTCATATGGCACGAATTAAGGTGAAGGGGAATGTATATAGGATATTGGTGGGAAAGTCAGAAGGAAAGAGACCACTGGTAAAACCAATATTAAAATGGATCTTAGAGAGATAGGATGAGATGGTATGGATTGGATTGATGTGGTGCAGGATAAGGACCAGTGGAAGGCTCTTGTGAACATGGTAATGAAAGTTCGGATTCCAAAAATTCTGTGAATTACCTGAGTAACTGCACGATTGGCGGCTTCTCAAAAAGGGCTCAGCGCCATGAGTGAGAGAGTCAAAGTTATTGTTCAGTATACACATTCTGTGTTGGTACTGATGAATATTATGAGAGATTCTTGACAATTTGGTAAAGGACTGCGACTTACCCTCCACAAAGAGAAAGTAACCATTTGGGTTCTTGTTCATGACTCGAATGGCAACCCTAGTCATTTCTTCGAGTGTTGGAATAGTTCCGGATGTGTCCAGAATCTTATAAGGCAGATGGTCTCTACTGAACAAACCTGACGACAAAAAAAAATATTTTTGGTGAAGCGACATATGCAATTAATTTGAATCTGTGAAGTCGCACAACCAGCGGAAAATATAACTTCTTAGAACTTTACACTCACCGAGTATAAATTCAGTTTTGTTCATGTCGACTCTTGCTAATTGTCCTTTATTCCAAAGGTATTTGTAGCTAACCCCACGTTTCTTCTTGTCGGTTTCCCAGCTAGCAATCAAATCGACATTATCCGTTCGCCTACCTGGCCCACCTTCTTCGTCTACGGCATTTTTTGAGCGAAATTGTTTGCGGCCACCTCCCAGGATGACCTGCGTGAAATAGGCTTAGGTAAGATAAATGCACACAGGGTTTTGATCGCAAAACCTGAAGGAAAGATATCAATTTGAAAACCTAGGCTCACACACTAGGATAATATTAATATGGATCTTCAATAATAGTGGATAAAAATGTGGATATGATTAATTTTATAGAATTTGAGGTTTTCGCGGCTGTGACTATGAAGAACGCAGTCTTCTGTGATGTGGCGCCGTGGAGATATTTTGTTAACCGACAGAGATATTGGGTTTTCAGACTTTATCCATTGTCCTGGTTTTAAGATAACTAAGAAAAACGCGACGTTTCGGAAACTGGATCTGTTTCCGTCCTCAGGTGAGGGAAAACACCTATTCTGTTTAGCCTTAATCACTTTACTCTTTCTAAGGGACCCAACAGAATAGGTGTTTTCCCTCACCTGAGGACGGAAACAGATCCGGTTTCCGAAACGTCGTGTTTTTCTTAGTTATCTTAAAACCAGGACAATGGATAAAGTCTGAAAACCCAATATCTCTGTGTGTTATACACCATCGTCAAAATCCTATAGTAACTATTAATTAACCGACGTTTCGGAGGAACTTATCGCCTCCATTTTCAGGGCATAAGAAGTCCGCGAGCGATGAACCAGCGTGAGCAAGTATTTGTTAACAAAATATCTACACTGCGCCACATTCCAGAAGACGGCATTTTTCGTGGTTAATTTTGTTCAGGGCAGAAACTAGGGGTGGGATTTAGAGAATACTGTAATGTACCTTCCATTTCATACAAGGAGGGACTATGAAAAAAGTCCGAAAACTCAGTAATTCTGAGTGTTATACACCGTCGTCAGAACCTTTTGGGATCTAGGAGTACATAGTTTCAATTTCTTGCCAATTTAATTATAATAAGAGAAGAGTAAACAATTGCTAACCAAGTAACTTCTTCCATAGAGCTGAGACCTTCTTGAGAAGCCACCAGTCGCTCAGCTGCCCAAGAATATTGCAACATTTTATGGAACCAGAAAGTTCATTACCGTTTTCGCAAGAGCGCTCCAGTGGTCTCTATCCTGAGCCAGATGAATCCAGAACATACCAGTGAGCATTAAAATATAATGTATAATGTAATTGTAAAGTTCATCCCAGTGTTCGTTATTTCATGTTTAATTCCGTCTTTCAAACGCGCCTCTTATAGGTATGCTGTGTAACATTGCCAACGTGTTCGTGGTTCTGTATACGCAACGAGACAGATGAAAATGCGCCGTGTCACAGACCTTTATATTCTTGCCAGGGGAGTTGTTTACGAGCTGCTCAGCGATGTCGTCACATACTTCCGGGTCTTGCTTCGAGTTTCTGACCTCGGCATCAGTCTCCCAGTTCCTGTTGGCTACGTAGGAGTAGGCACCTGCTGGGGACGCGTGAGTGACGCGGGTTGTTGTCACAACCCCTGTAGATTTGCCGGCATCCTGAAATGTCCGCAGAGATATTAACATTGGGAACTTCCTGAACTGGTAATAACTGGCGTATTTTTTTTTTTTTTTAGTTTATTGGGATGAGATGAGAATTGGTACGTCGGCACTAAAAATTTTAAATTCGCTTAGTGGCGGTTGGAGTCCAAATGGGTCCACTCTGCACAGCGGCCACTGATTGGTCGGGTGATTATGATGATGGAGAATTTGGTGGAATGAAAATTGGCAGGGGAAACCGAAGTACTCGGATAAAACCCACCTCAGCGCCACTTTGTCCACCACAAATCCCACTTTACCAGACCCGGGATTGAACCCGGGCCACCGCGGTGGGAAGCCAGGGACTAACCGCTTGAGCTATGACGCCGCCCTTCATTGGCCACTAATTGGCCTATTGTACCAGCCCTGGATGCTGGATAATGATGAATGTGGAGCAGTCGGTGGAATGACAATTGGCAGGGGAAACAGAAGTACTCGGAGAAAATCTGCCCCAGTGTCACTTTCTTTACGACAAATCCCACATGACCTGAAGTGGATTCGAACCCGGGCCGCTGCGATGGGAATCCGGTGATTAACCAGCTCAGCCATAGCACAGCCTATAACTGAAGTAACTTATTTCTTTGGCCGCGTCATAGCTCAAGCAGTTAGTCACTGGCTTCCCACCGCGGCGGCCAGGGTTCGAGCCTGGGTCTGGTCAAGTGGGATTTGTGATTGACAAAGTTACGCTAGGGCAAGTTTTCTCCGAGTACTTCTGTTTCCCCTGCCAAACTTTATTCCACCAAATTCTCCATCATCATAATCACCAGGGGCAGGCTACAATAGGGCAAAGAGTGGCTGACGTGCCTAGTGGACCCAGCTGGACTCCACGCCCCACTATGAGAATTTTAATTTGACTTCTTTAATTTCGTAGAGTGCAATGAGACCGAGTTAACTTGCTACGTCAGTCTCAGTTTGGCCTATTGCACCAGCCACGGACGACAAGTGATGAGTATGTAGCATTTGGTGGAATGAGAATTGGGCGGAGAAACCAAAGTACACGGAGAAAACTTGTCCCATTGCCACTCTGTCCATCCCAAATCCAGCATGACTTAACCTGTTCGAACTCTGAATGCTGCCATGGTGAGAAGACAGAGACTTGCCGTCTGAGCTATGGCACGGTAAATTAACGGGAATATGTTTGTAGAAGTGAATACTATTTATTATGAGAAACAATCGCATTAAAATAAGAGAAAAAAGACTAAGTTCACATGCATTGACAGACGAGAACTGCGGTTCTCAGGCGAATAAATATAAAGAGTATTATTTGCAGATTTTGTACAACATGCTGTCTCTTAGGTCCTGAAGAGGAAGGAAGTACATTGATTCTAAACGGAGGTATACTTCTTCAAGGCCATACGGAGTAATATTCCATAAGAATACACTCTTCAAGAACAAAAGATATCTTCAATTCCTTAATTGCAAGAGGTAGTAAAATGTTCGGCTACCAACTGGATGGCATTTCTTTGATTTCCGGCAGAATCTGCTATATCTCTCATCGTCTTCCTGTCCCGAAAAACTTTGCTGTTTTTCCGGCGCAACTTAGATTTTATTTTCTATTATAATGTCGGAAAGTATCACGGTTCTGTGTGATACAAACTGACGCTTGGAACCTTGTCCCGCCGTCAGTTTTCTCGACTGGAATCTCTGTGGCTTTCCTCAGACCGCAGAGGCAAATTCCGAGATAGTATCTAAAAATTTACCTTAAATATCTCATTCAAAATTATTACCCCTCATCATTCATGGAAATTTTATAGCATAGCAATAAGTTATACATCTCTGGTTGAAACAGCGACGTTAAATAAATATAGAATAAAGGAAGAAGAATTAAGATAAACGCATCAATTTTTATCCTAAATTGTAGGATTTGAGGAACACACAGCGATGATTTTGAATCGTTTTACGTCTTGGGCTATAATGCCGTGTATTCTGTTGAAAATCAACCTACATTCGGGAGGAATATGTCGCTTTTATCGTCAGGTTCAAAGAGTAAGCCAAAGAAAAAATCATAGCACATAGCACTCGATCGGACTACACGGCATTGTGGGACAGAAAATAAATAATTTTATTTTAAGTTGTTACCTGTGACCACTTCAGGATGGACGTCACCTGATTCGAAGCATTTCTCATGCCTTTGCAGTCATTTAATTTGACCTTTGCCATAACCCCAATGGTGCCGATGTTGGCCTTGACACCACCCAAATAGGCTGTAGCGCTGCAGGCAGAGTCTGCAACTTGGCTGTCTACACAGTAGGTCTGCAAACGGGAGCACGACACGTATTTGTCATTTAAAATAAAGAAAGAGATGACATGCTTTAGAGACTGGTTAGTAGATCCCCTCGAGAGCTTCCACAGAAGGCAAAAACCTCTGTTGAAAGGTATATTTGAATATGTCGAATGCTTACAATCCTGACAATTATTAATCATATGTACACTTGCAGAAGTGTAAGAGTTGTTTAGCTTATCTCCTGGCTGTAGAAAGAAACAGAACAAACTCATGCAAACAAGGCAACTTACATCACTTCAACAATAATACCAATTCAATTAGCTAATTCCAGCCCAGTATTATTCCGGGAGAAAATAAATATTATTTAAACCTATAATATTTTAATAATTAAGACAGTAAAGTTACACATATAAATATAAATATAAATAGCGTGGTCTAAAATATGCAATTGCCCTAAAAACAAGATGATGATGATGATGATGATAACAATAATAATAATAGTAATAGCAAAACGTAAGTAAAGTAAAAGTAAAGGGATCCATGTTAACAGGCCGTGGAGGCCCAAAGAGTTCTGAGATGTTGAGGTTCCCACATTTTCCAGACAATTGGCTCATAGATGGCGGCAAGATTGTAAGCCTTACGCGCCGGCCTCCCTTTACCTCCAAAAATATTCCTGGTACTCATTTCTGTTTGAGGCTGAGTCAACCCCAGGGCCATAGTACGGCTGGAAGGATTAGGTCAATTGAAAAAATCCAACTCATCGGGATTCGATCTAGCGACCTTCCGGCTTGTAGCACAGTGCATCAACCAACTACGTTACCGCGTGCCCCAGTGATAATAATAATAACTGTCAACTTCTACAAAATTACAGGACGCCACATTTCAGAATCTACTCGTACACTCTTCATGAATTCTGCTTCGAGAAATTAAAATCTTGGTATTTATTTCGTCAAGACCTTTCACCTTTGAGAGTCCTGTGTGAGGGAATGCTTCGAAGGAAAGGACTGTTTCCTCTCCCGTGTGCCCTTGTGATTGGCCCAGGTAAGCCCTTGATGCAGCCAAGGTTGGGATAGATAACCCATCTCCTAAGAACAGGATCACGTTTTTCGCCCTTCCTGTCAGAAGGCGTCTTGCCAGCTTCTGGTGCAGAGTGCTCTGTGCTCCCGTGTTCCAGTATTCAGCGTCTGTGAAAACAAGCGAGAAAAGATTTCACAGCTTCATTGAAACATATACACCGTCCACAGAACACTAGTCTCAGGCACGTGATAGAAAAATTGCAGAACCAGCCAGAATTAAGAATGAAATATTCCAATAGGTTTATGCAAGAAATATTCATCCATAAACAAATTTTAAGAGTCAAATTCAATTTCGAATCCTTACATACGCTGATTGAAGTAAACTGGGTTGTTAAGATGGAGTATGATCTCGTTTAATCCAGTCTCTTTCATGAAAGAGAGAAAGCAAGAAAACAGCATATCTAAAGCGAGCAGAGCAGCTTAGGTTTTTATTAAAAGCGAGAGCACTGACATTAAAACATTCGTGCTCTCTATGTGCGGTGTGTTAGCTTTTGAGCCGAAAGAGCTCAGTAGGCAAAGCGACTAGGCTACGGGTCGCACTGCAGAGGGTCAAGGATTCGATTCCCAGCAAGGGAAAGACACTTCTCTCTTCTACATAACTTTGAGACCGACTCTGTGGCTCACCCACACCCATACACAAAGGGTACAGCAGGCAATTTCCCAGGGGTAACGTGGTAGTGGTGTGAATCTAACCACCCGCCTCCAGCTAGTGCCGAGATCAAGAATGGTGGAGCCATACCTCCACTTCCCTATACGCCTTCATGGCGAGATTCTTAATTAATTAAGCCCAGGAATGCTTTTATGTTCAACTGGTTTTCTTTGAATAAATTGTTAAATCTATATGTGGAAGGATGTGTAAGTCACCATAAGTTATATAATCGAATAATAATATGACTGGTTCAATCAACGCGTTGCCAGGCAATGGATCCGTAAACATGATCCGACTCGCAACAATAGATGAGGCTGTGGTTTCTATGTCGTCCGATCCACGCCCAATGATGATAACGGACGAATTAACTCTCAGGATGACATGTGACACGTGTTTTCTGTGGAGTCCGTGCTAAAGGATTATAGGAAGTTCCAGAATAACCGAGAAGGCAGTCCAAGAGGGTTGAGCTGAGAGCACAAGGACGAGAATAGAGCGTGTCCTTAGTGAATTGTGAGGATTAGTTGACAGTTTAGGACAGAGGAGTACAGAGTGATTGAAGACAAAATAACAAGAAGACTTCATAGTGATTTGAAGCTCTAGTTTCTGTGTTGAGATCCGCTGCCCGAAGGCGAATAGTCAAGACGGAGAATCTTAATGCGTGTGCAAGGGTGGACTGAAAGTGTGTAGAATATCGGTAGCGCTGTATTAAGTGTGATGAAGAGAACTTGTAACCGAGGTGACAATAAATCCAATCATCCAATCTTGAACCCGTTATTTTCGTCACGCGTACCCCCCTACACGTAACAATAATATAACAGAACAATAATAAAAAGCTGAAGTATGGGTACAGGATTATTTGCATAGGAGCTCTATTCATTACATCCAATTTAAGCTGATGCTTTGCCACACTCTTCGGAATGGTATTACAAAACTCACCCATTTCCCTTACGTCATGCAGTGGCCTCACGGTCTGAGTGTGTGTAGCTAGTGTCCAGTGATCAGTATCTGAAACAGGAGCATTGATACATAAAATAGCAAATGTGGACCATGACAGAACGCTGTCGTAATGTACCTTTCACTCAGAAAGGTCTTTTTATTAAATAGCAGGCATTGGCTGCTTAATAGAACTGTTGCAGCAGTAAGCAGGGTCTTAAGGTTCGGCCACACAGAGCGCTACGTACGCTATGTTCGCTATACGAACAGAAAAATATCTCCCTTTATTGCCAATGTGACTGGCCACACAGACTTCCGTACGCTACGTACGCTATGTTCTCTATGTTAGCTGCGTCGTAGAGTGTACACAGCGTACGTAGCGAACATAGCGTAGCGCTGTGTGTGGCCGAACCTTTAGAGCATCAACAGACGTCCCAGGATAAGTAGCCTGTGGTGTTAGTGCAAGAACAATCCTAAAGATGGCTTAACAGACCACAAATGGACCGGTTTAGACTCTCTTCTCTAAGATGACTGTAGTTTATTAACGTTGCTATCAGAAACTCTGATTATTAACCTCTGGAAGAGTGAGAGTGAATAACGATTTGCAATGGATGCGGAAGGGCACAATAATGCCCTGTATGTGTACAATCTCCGGTATGTCTGGAGCTACTGAGGAAAAGTGAAAGAACTCGGTAAGGGCAGACGTCCCGGATGAGATTCGAACTAACATTACGAAAGGGTGAAAGAGATTTCTGTGAGTTCCATTCCAGTACACGGAAGAAGGGAGGAGAGTGAAAGGGGAAACTGTTCTTGTTTTGTGTAGGTTTCTGCAGAAGAAAAATGGAAAGATAATTTAACGCTATTTTCTTACACTTTATTGCGAGAGTACAGAAGAATGCACTCAGGGCAGGAAGATACGAAATATGGAACAGAATCAGCTGACGCTCGTCTTCTTGTTTTCCCATAAGCGAATTTGTCTTTGGGGCACTATAGAATGATGAACTTGGAAAATGTATAAGATTTACACATCGGCCGGAAACCTTCTAAATTAGGATTGCCTACTCATAACACGGTCGGGACACGATCTTCCTACTTCATTCAGCTGACAAGTCAGGATGGCGTCTAACTATATGAGGAACTAGTGACATAACCTAACATTACATTTTTCTGACGATTGTATAACGTAAATATGCTTATTATTTTGAAAACTATTCATAGTTTTGTGTTTCTCAAACACAACATTTCGAAAACCAGATATTTCCGTCATCGGGTTTAAGTGATGATAAATTCATACTCATTTCTACCTATCAAGAACAGCTGCATTCAGTCAGTCCAAAAATCCAGTAATTCTGTGAGTCAGGTTTCTGTCGGAGTTCTTCTGTTTCCCCTACCCGTTATCACTCCACAGACCTTCCATCCTGTCATCTAATATCCTGAGGGCTGACGTAGTTGGACTACTTAGATTTAAGTGCCAAGTGGCTTAGTCTCACACAATCGCAGCAATAACAGATATGCTTGAAGATTATTATCTTGTGAGATATTATCCCTCCTATTGTGGGCAAAATTAGCTGACGTTTCGGATGAATGAACGTTCTCATTCGTCAGGGTCAAGAAGTAAATCAAGCTTGCTGCTTGCTTTGCTTAATTATTGACCTGCGTTCTTACGAAACGTCAGTTGAATTTACCATCTACAGTTAACATTTCTGTGAAAGCAATTTTCAAACAACTTCTCTGCTGCACCAGTACAGGATATGATAGGAACGACAAAGAAATATGAATTTTAACATATTATATCATTTCAACCCGGTTCCTGGGGGTACAGCTGGGCCGCCCTGTCACTGGGGGACATAAATACAGTTACCTGGTCCTCCAGGTTGGGGTTTGATCGCAAGGATGTTGACCTACTCTGTATTATTGTTGCGAAATCGGAAGAAGTGAAAACCGGATACAATCTGGCAGAATATTCTAAGGAAGACTATATCTCAAAATGGCTGTCTTGCTAATGATGAAGATTTTGATGAAGATGGTGATGATGATAACAATTATGATGATTAATTTCATAATTATAAAACATCTCTAAAAGCTTATCTATTCCTGTTGGCTTGATTCTGAAAAAGGGAACAAAATGCGAGGAAAAGGGCCGTATTTCTTTGTTCTCGACAGCAGATCTGTATGTCGCTCTATGTAGCGGTTTTACGCTCACTTACTTTGTGAGTGTACAGTAGAAGAGTGATTTAAGTAATGTTAGCAGTTTTATGTAATCTACAAGAGAGAGATTGAAATCATGGATACAGCGCTAACAGTTACACTCGAATCTAGGTCAACACAAGGCAAAATAATGCGATAAACATTCATATCCAACAAATAACACCGTAATCAAGGCCTAATAATTATACACATTTATCTGCCTAATCACCGAGTTCGGAAACCCCCCTATAAAAATATTTTGAAATAATCCTGGAACTTCTGAAAATCTTGCATGACATTAGCTCTCCTTGCAGCGCACATACTTCATATTTCTATAAAATGTAATGCAGATAAGCTTACCTTGATTTCTTGAGGCCAGTTTTCCTGATCTGACCCAATTACTCGTGACTAACAAGAAAATGGCGACACCCCAAGGTGACCACGTAGCCGGTGAAACCATCTCTGAAGTACAGATGATAGGAACCACAGAAGAATGCAGTCTATTGACCGGCAGACGAAAGTGGAGTGTCTATATTAAAATGTTTTGCTGACCAGTAGCTTGACTGCTCTCCCCCTCCCTCCCTATCTCCACCGGTGCCACTTCCAGATTTCTCACCTCTTGCTCTCAAAATTTTGTTAACTCTTATTAGAAAACGTGATGAAAGACCTATGAACACTTTGAAGGTTCTGACTACTGACCTTAGCAGAATACGTAACAGNTCTCCACCGGTGCCACTTCCAGATTTCTCACCTCTTGCTCTCAAAACTTTTGTTAACTCTTATTAGAAAACGTGATGAAAGACCTATGGACACTTTGAAGGTTCTGACTACTGACCTTAGCAGAATACGTAACAAGTGTGAATGCTCTTTCTGTTTTTGTTGTTTCGTCATTGAAGTTGTTTTCATAGACATTAGAAAGCAAATCAGTGTCGTGTAGGGTTGGCTGTGTCTAACTTCACAGTCGACTGCCGAACGTCAAACATGATGACCGCGGTGCTTGCCAGTCAGCGAGACAGAGAGCGTTAATCATGAACACATTCTGAAAAGAATCCCTCTATAGTTGCAGAGTGATTTCTTCCACGGTAACCCAGGTGCTTGCGAGAGAGAGTCAATTATGATATCAAATAATGTCGAAATTCGCATTATAGAAATATAAACGGGTATTATCCATCTCAAAAGACTACTTTGGTACCCAAACTGGCATTCGATGCAAGTGGGAGGACTATTTTACGATTACAGTAACTGATACCGGATTGGCCACAGTTCTTTTTCCTGGAACTGCCAATGAAGAGAAGTGTTCTCTTTTAAGATCCGTGCCGCGGACACCTATGATATAGCTAGGCACTGATTGGTTTATCATTGTTTATATAAGAGACTTAAACTTGGCGGTGGTCAAGGTTATGACCGTTCAAAAGACTAAGCTGCCGTTGTAGCATAAGATAAGTTAGATAGTCATGGTGTGCTTAACAAAACCCGGACTGACAGAGGACTTTTATACATTGCAGAAATAAGAATTTTCAATAGCATGCTGTATGTGCGATACATACACGTGACAAAAAGCCAAACGTATTCATAAGAGGCAAACCTACCTTCTCGTCATAAAGGATGTTACATAAGGGCCATGCCCTCAAAGGGTTCAGTTAAAAAAAGCATTGGTCGTGTGTCTCAAGGTGTTTGTCGCTAAGACTAGCTGATTGGCGGTAAATCGCCAGTCTTAAAGTAAGTTTATCGTTTTTCCACGTCCTTTGTAGTTTCCATGGCATGGCAACAGTAAATTTTTATTTTATTCGATATCGAATATTTTATGGTGCTGTTGGATCTGATGTTCTGACAGCGGTGACAATAAAAGTGCTTTTTCTTGGTTCCTTGCTCGCTTGCTGGTTTTCGTGCCGTGAGACATTCTTCCGTAGATCTGGAAAATGAGTAAGTCCAGAAATAAAACCAGGGTCCAGTTAAAATTCGTGAAGTGTTTGTAGTATACAAAGTGGTTTCAGACTCATCTTCCGAACACGTGCCGGTAAATTTACAAAATCGTTAGGATGTTTCCGACGATGAGGTTGAGTTTAGCTTTGTAACCAAGGTTCTTGATTTAATTTCATGTAGCAGTGAAACAAACAACAATAAACAAACTTTATTTCGTGGATCGGTTTGTTTTGTGTCGCTGTTTGTTTAGTAAAAAATTAATAAAAAATAGGGAGTGGCTTTTCAGACACTCTGTATAGTCAAAATTATATTAAAATATGTTGTTAATAGGCAGCATTTTTTTTCCTTGGCACTACAGCCCCAGTGGGCCTATGCCTACCTCCATGAACTTCTCCGTTCACTTCGGGTTTTCTAGATCGTACACATTCGGTAGGACTCCTTGGGCGGGTGATCAGCTCGTCGCAAGGCCTCTACCTGTACACAAACACAGAAAAACGCACACACACAAATTAATATCCATGTCCTGAGTGGGATTCGAACCCACGATCCCGGTTTCCAAGCGAGCGAAGACAGGCAGTACTTACAATAATTATTTTTAACCATTTAATTTAAAGAATAAATAAATGGACAACAATAAATATATACTACACTGTCCTTCGGTTTGGGGAGTTGGAGTCCAACTGGGTCTACTCGGCATGGCATCCACTGATTGGCCTATTGTAGCTTACCCCGGGTGATTATGATGATGCAGAATTTGGTGGAATGAAGGTTGACAGGGGAAACCGAAGTACTCGGAGAAAACCCGCCCCAGAGCCACTTTGTCCACCACAAATCCCACTTGACCAGACCCGGTATCGAACCCGGGCTACCGCCGTGGGAAGCCAGCGACTAACCGCTTGAGCTATGGCGCGGCCCTACACTGTCCTTAAAAGTATAAACAAAATTATGTCTCATACTTCGCTCCTTCCGTACATATTTCAGTTTTTACAACAATAATATTACATAAAATTTCATTCAAGTAATGTAAGTTGTTCTGGAAAGTAAATAATATTTTAACTCTTGAAACTCTGTATTTTTAAAATTGTACTGCGATTTTTTTATCAAAATAAATATACGATAAATTTGGGGGAGAAATCTTGCCTACATTCCTTTGATGAGACACGGATCGCATAGAAAACGACTCATTGAACAATTTTTCGTTCCCGCAGGACGTCTTTACCGAGCTGTTACCTAGCAATGATAGAGGAAAACACAGGCAGACTCACAGGCACAAGTGTACAGAAATTCTTCTGCTGTTGCTCATATTCTTTGCCACGAGGTGTTTACCGAGCCGTTGCCTACCAACGAATGAAGGAAAACACTTTGCCGAGCCTTTGACCCGTAACGATAGGAGGGATACACGTGCAGACACACAGACTAATTGAAGAGATTTACGAAGTACGCCGTTCAGATGGACTCAGCTGTCATGGTGCAAATACCAAGTTTTATGAAATTTGGTTCAGGAATTCAAAAGTTAATAGGCCTGGGGTGGGAATTTACAGAGAGCATGGAAATGGCATATGCGTACTTTACGAAAGTAAGTTAAAAATTGTAAGATTTGAGGCTTTCACGGCGGTGACTATGAAGAAAGCAGTCTTCTCGTATTTGGCACCGTGTATATGTCGTGTTAACCGTGAGAACCGGTAAAAGCAGGCTGCTTTTACTGGTTCTCACGGTCTCTTCGCTTGCGGATTTCTTATATTTTTCCTTCTACCCTGAAGATGGAGGCGATACGTTCCTCCGAAACGTCGGTTAACACCACATATACACGGTACCAAATCCCAGAAGACTGCTTTCTTCAAGTCAAAAATTGCTTTATTGAATCTATGTGTTATCTATTACAGGAGAATAATTTCACCCGCGACAGAGTGTAGGAGTTTTAAACTGATTAAAAAATTCTATGAAAGGCAAAACAATGACTTGCAGGGAGAAGAGTATTATGATGCGTAGAATTGCAAGGAGAAGACCACGCGGTGTCAAGAATATTGTACAATTGCATGAATATATCTCATGGAACACGCATGGTTAATACAACACTCAAACTATGGGATATCACACGACACTGTGCATCGTCTGCAGAGATTTTGTGTGTGACTTATAAATCTACAATAATATAATATTTATGGTTACAGCGGCCTAACAGAAATTTTAAGTGAACCCCTAATATATCTTTCTTAATGCAAATATATTTAATGTAATATATTTTGGAAGACAGTATAAGAATTTATACGACTAAATTAGAACCATAATTACACTTGCTTTGTAATGATCAAGTCAATGAGGATGAGATGGGCAGGGAACGTAACACGAATAAGGAGATGAGGAATTTATGTAGGATATTGGTGGGAAAGCCAGAAGAAAATTTATCACTAGGAAGACCAAGACGTAGGTGGGTGGACAATACTAAAATGGATCTTAAATAGATAAAAGGAGGTGATGTGGATTGGATTGATCTGGCTCAGGATAGGGACTAATGGAAGGCTCTTGTAAACACGATAGTGAACCTTCGTTTTCCATAAAATGCTGGGAAGTTCTTGAGTAGCTGCACAACTAACGGCTTCTCAAGTAAGGCTCAGCTCCATGAAATCAGTTACGTTATTTGTGCGAAATTTGATCTGTCATTGCGTCGAAATAACTTAAATTGCTTTGGTCAAATTATATTGCAATAGTATGATGTACCATGTACTACATATGAAATGATTATGAACATGATGTACATCTTCATTGCTTGCATCCTGTTGTGTATTTCGGATATATATATATGAATTATGTCACTGTCTACACAAAAAATACTCAGTTTTAATTTCGATCTTTATTGCTGCTACATATTTCAGTCTCATAAGACCACCATCTATTGACTTGCCTCCTTGTGGAGGCTGGGTTGAATACTTCCACCGTGACCCTGCGAGACGTGGGAGGCGACAAAAAAAGAAGTCTCAGAGGGTAAAATATGGTCACGAGTCCAAAGGGACTTGGACCCGAGAAAGACTGCGCTGGCAAGGGCCAGCAGTATATACAAAAGAGAGACCCGTCCTCTCGTCAGAGAGGGCACCCCACAAGAACAAGACAGTAACTGTCAAACAGTAATAAATATCTGATCAAGAGCTCTACATCAAGACTTACTGACTGACTGACTGACTGACTGACTGACTGACTGACTGACTGACCGTCCGTCGCAATGTGACTTTGACTTTTTTGCAGTTAGTCGAGTCTTCGAGCGCCAGCAGGCCAGGATATGAGCTTGGAAGCAGAGGAGCTGAGGCACCAGAATTACTGAGTGTAGGTTAGTTGGGACTAGAAGGTCAGTCCCTGAAAAGAAGACTTAGCTTATGATTTCAAGACTTTATGAAAGCTGTAGTGATATCTGGAATGTGACTGTTGTAGTCCCTGTGTTAGAATCAGTTGCCAGGAAACGAATAGTGAAAACATTGTAAAAGGAGTAGCCAATACTGAGATCCGTTACGAAGACTAGTGACCGCAGTCTGAGAAGATCTAGTATGGAGATATCCGTAGTGTGAAAAAAAGAGTGTTGTACTGGTTTGTAATTTCTAAAAATAAAAGATTAATAAATCCAACTACCAATCCAGAAACGGTCCATAGTCACTAAAACACGTCACATTGCGTTGGTATTTGCATGGATTCGAGTCGAAGTCGATTTACTTCTCCGTTACAGCCTCCACTAGAGAAGTTCAGGCGTACACTGCATTATTTAATTCAATCTAATTCAGTTCAGTTCAATTCTTAAGTATTTACTTGCTATCTGAATAGCCCAGAGGCCAATNTATTATTATTATTATTATTATTTTATTCTGTTTGTTTCCTTATATGCATTAATGTGGTTTTCCTCCAATGCTTTTCTTTAATTAGTCTTTCGCTTTATGTTCTGTTTGTCCAGTATGTAACTACTTTTATCTACACTGTGCTGTGTCTGTAATTGGCCTTGTGGCTGTTGGCTCAGCACATAAATGAGAAAGAATTGAAATGAATTGAATTATTGAAGAGCCAGGATAGCACAGTCGGTATACCGACTTGCTACGGGCAGGATGATCAAATGGTCGGAGTTCGAGTCCCGGGGGCAAGAATTTTCTCTTCTCAATAGCGTCCAGACCCGCTCTGGGGCCCACTCAGCCTCCTATCCAATGGACACCGAAGGCTCTTTCTGCTGAGGTTATGCGGCTGAGGCGTGAAGCTGATCAATCGCCTTCAACTACTGCAGAGGTCAAGAAAACGTGGGTCTATACGTTCACTTCCCCATACGCTTTCATAACGTAGTGCTTAATTGGTTAAACACAGGGACAACTTTCCCTTAGCTTATTATTTTGTAATTACTTCTGTCTACACTGTACTGCGCCTGTAATTGGCCTTGTAGCTGTTGACTCGACACATAAATAATAAAGAATTTAATTATTACTATTATTATATGCTGAAAACGTTGTGAGTAAAAATCTCGACATATTTGCAATCGGAACAGTTTTCGTCAATAATATTGAAATTAAAATTTGTAATAATATTTGTTAATACTCTTAATGTTATGCGTATGTATGTACGTATAGTGTTTTTCTCGCCACAAAATGGTATAACCATTGGAAATTTACTTATTTCATTTTTCTCGCTTTTGTGTGCGCTAACTTTATTTTTTTTCTTGGAATTATTATTAATTTATTTTAATTATATAGTGTCATATTTTGTATTTTGTTTTTTTAACTATTTTTATATATTTCTATGTACTCGTGCTAACTTTGTAATTGGCCTCTGTGCTGTTAAATTTGCACGTAAATAAACATGAATTAAATTGAATTGAATTATTACTTATTATTATTATTATTATTTACCCTTCACATTCGCATCTGTAGAATCAAAACAACGCAGGCCTTAGATCTCCTGTTAACAGTCACAAATTCCTGGCCTCATGCCTTGCCCATTTCAAATAATTGTGAAATGTAGCTCATC